CTGATGTAACAATTTTAGTCATTTTATTGAAAAGGATTTGTGCTGGTAAATTTGGTTTGCAAACATTCCATTTGTACCCTCAAAAAAGCAATATGCATTGTGTCTGTTCTCAGTTAAACAGCATTTTCATTCCTTATCATGGCCACATTTAGGGTCAAAGGTCATTGACCAGGTGAAACCACTGTGGCCCCTGAGACGTGGCCAGCAGCTGAATTGATGGGCTCACAGTTTCCATGGAATGGGTGCCAATTGGCCTTTTAGAGCTTACAATAAAGAGCTTTGTGGAACACAGTGCCAATCAGCAGTTGCCCTTTGTACACAGAGGCCACTGTGCTTCCTTGCAACACTGTACCATTTTCTGCATAAACCACCGTGACTCTGGGTTCCTCTGTTAGAATATTCTGGATTTGGAGCACCTATCAAGGAAATGACATTAGGTTAAAATGTTATTAAATGTCATGTAAAACATAACTTTAAATATGTGGTCATTCCTCCCTAAGAAAAAGCCTTTAGGTGCATCATATCTTGTTTCAAAATTACTCTCTCCATAAAACACCTGTTCCCTCATTGACAAAGTGATAGGTTTGATCAAGTTATCTTTAACAGAGATCAAGACAGATAAGCCTTGCAGAAGCTAGGCAAGAAATGCAGGTGAGAGGCACAGCCCAGGTGTGCAGTGTTAGGGAGCAGTTGAGAATATGGTAAATGGCTAGGTTGGTGGGGAGAAGCTGTTACCAAGTAATAGTCAAATTATTACCATGCTGGAATTCAAGCCAGATTTTGTGTATTTTCAGATAAGCTAGGCATCTTAATGTTTACACTTCATTCTTGGTTTTCAAATGCTGGTAATAAAAAAGAATGCTGGTAAAAAAAAAAAAAAAGTACTGCCCCCAAAGAAACATATCTCTGTACCACACTCACCCATTCCTCCAAATATAAGGCCCCAACTCTAAATGTATGAGATTTCATATGTTCTGTTTCCTTCATTTATTTGAGCAGAAAAGTGATGGTATCATTAGCAACAGTGTAGCAGTATGTTAAGCTGACTATAAATAATAGCCAACATTTGACCATTCTGGCCGATAAAGTGGCAGTTTCGGGGTATGATTCATCCTGCTGCAAAGAGTGCATGGTAAGGCCGGATCCCAGGGCTATGTTCGGGATCATCCACTTGCTTACCATCTCTTTTCGTCTGTAGAATGTAATGGGTGGAGTGAGATTAACTCGAAATTCCCTTTCAACAATAAATTCCTATTATCCTTAAGCCATTAGGATAAAATATAACACCTGAAGAAAGGATACCGACACACAAAAACACAAAATATGGCACAGTAGGAAGGCCAGTGCCTGCCTATTAAAGGGTCAGTGGCAGCATTTAAAAGGACCTCTTAAAACCAGCTGGGCACCAAAGAGACGTTTCAGGAAGTTGCCTTAGCATTAACATGTAGTAGTTACCAGATGCATAACAGTGCCCCTTGGCTCAAGTAAGCTTTTTTCTAATAAAACTAAATCATTCTTTGGAGCAGTGCATTAGATAATGGGTTGTTATTACTCTTTGGCTATTCCTTACCAGATCCATCATTAGAAAGGATGCATTTTTTTTTCCAGGCAGCAACCCAAGTCCATACTAGAGTAAACGACCCTGATACACCAAATGAGTTAAGAGGCAGAAGCAAATTTAACTCTAACCTTCTGCTCAGCTCTGAACAGTGAACACGCCGCAGCATATATTTCTTCAATTCTATTAAACATACAGTAATCCTAATAGCTAAGAACTAGCAAAAGGCAGAGGACTGCCATTAAACATAATCACAGTTGTCCTATAAACCTAAAGATAAAGGGTATGAAGGGCCTTGGAAATACACATTCATGTTTTATTTTATCCAAGAGGCACAGGCTTTAAGAAACTATTTGTTGGGGAGGGGGCAGAGGAATGGGGGAATTAGACTATTTAAAAAGGATACAGAGCAGTAAATTATGTCAAAGAAGTATATCATGTATTTGATGTGAATCACAAGCATAATTAGTACACACTGAAAACTCAAAATAGAAAACCCCAAATAAGTCATAGTCAATATTCAAACGCTTATGGCAAAATGAGTTACAAATTCTTGTTTGCACTGCCAAAATAGTCCACTGAATAAAAACCAGGGGCACCAAGAAGGGCCCTGAGTACTGTAATTAAGAAGGAAGAAAAAGACTTTTAAACCAAATTAATTCCAGCAAGTGATTTATCTTGCCATACTGCTGGGAAGGTTTAGGGAGGGTAGCCATTTGTGCATTAACTTGTGTACACACTGACACAGGCAGAGGGAGTTGAAAGGAAAGTAACAAATGAATGATTGGTGCATTATATTTCTTAAACAACTGTGAATTCCCAAGTTGGAGAAAGTCACGATCGAAATAAAGATAGTGCAGTGCTGGTTATCCCGACCCAGCCCTGTACACCCAGCCCACTCTGCCCAGACCTGTCCAGAGGCTCCCTTGCCCTCCAGCTCCTGTTTGGATCCCCAAGGGCAGCAGCAGTGGGGGTGGGGGATGGAGACGGAACTGGGGTATATGCTCCAGGTCTCCTCCCTCTGGGGCCCCTGCTGGTTGGCTTCATCCCTCAACCAGAGGTCGGTTCTTCTCAGGGGACCCTCTCCACACACTCTTTCCTGGCTCTGGCTTCAGTAACCATTTCCTGCCTCCCTTGCCAGCCCTGAGATACCGGTTATCCTATGTGTGCCCACACCTTTATATATCGTGGCCTTATTAAATCCCCTCAAATTACCCAATTTAGACATACTATCTGCCCCCTCTCGAACCCGTGACTAAATGACTGCCAAAGTCAAATTCCTTTTTATATCTGACTATTTGGATCCTCTATCTATATCCACCCCCCACCCCCACCCTTTTACTTGCACATGTAATTGAGATTTGTGTTCTCAACTGAAAAGAGCTGGCAATAAGGTCACCGATCTGATTTGAGTTCAAACTAACCTCTGATGCGGGAAGATTCTCTGCGTCATAGAAGAAGATTTTCATGCCATTGGGATGACATCCAACCCAAAGGTCCCCTGTCACAGGGTCCACGGATATGTTATCCACGAGTGTGTTAAAGTTGAGGGACTTCCAGATTAAATCCAGGGAGAGAAGGGAACACAGAAAATGAAAACAAATTTTGAGAGGTGGTGGAGCAATACGTCAGAGAAAACTGTCACCTCGTCGCCAGCGCCCACACTGCTGGTCCCAGGAGCACAGCAGCTCACAGTCCTCAGGGAGCTCCTCCAGCTTGCCCTCTCTGCTAGTATTTTATCATTTTCCAGGACAGATGGAGAGGGAAGATACAGAAAGACAGAAAGACTGTTACAAGTTAGATGAAAGCATTTGGACTCATATGCCTGTGTATGAACTTAAAAGGAAAAATAAAAGTTTAAAGTGCAGCATGAAACAGTTCCTCCTAAAAGGGCATGTGGAAATGATATGTTTATAAGCATTCAGAAAACAATCAGGAGATGTAGATTCATTTCTGATGAGAACTTGGATGATATGTAGGCTCTTCTGTAACGGCTAATCATAGGCTTTGTAACCAGAGAAGAAATGATCACCCAGGGTCTAATTTTTGCCTTGGAGTTGGGGAAATGTTTCTTCTGTAGCATCCTGATGTTATTCAACTCCCTGTTCTTCTGCTGTTGGTTTTCTAAATATAAGTTGCAAGCATGTGATGACAGCACAGACTGCTGTCAAGGCTTTTTGTACCAGGATTGTAAATAATACCAACCATTCTTAATTTCACCATTCATCATCTTGGGTGCCTCTACCAGGGAGAAATTGTATCTGTTTGTTTACATCTAACTCTCAAGTGGAGAAATGACATCTACCATGTACCTCAAACATGGGCCAGGGTACCTGAGTGCCCACAGACCCTGTAATAACTGGGGACGACTCGTTGCAAAGGCCAGGGTGTGGGCAGGCAGCTGCAGCGAGTCAGCGCTGCCCTGTGCTTCTTGCTCAAAATGAGAGCTATCCCCACATGCCCATGAAGGAACTAGAGGGCTCACACGCCATGGCAGAGCCTTCATGCAGAGCCAACACTAACCTGGACACAGGCACAGATGGCTGGAGTAGATGGCCAAGCAAATAACCTCTGGCCAAAATCAGCTCCAGACCCTCTCCATCCCCCAAGTCCCCAGCTATCACAGTGTCAGACATGCTATGCTGCCATGTGAACTTCCTTAAGTTAGGAAAATATTTGTCTCAGGGCTCTGCTATTATCTTTGGAAGGAGTAATAGCCAATTGGCAAATTCCATAACAGATGAAAGCCTGCAGAGATTAGAGTTGGTGGGGGGAGTGGGAGAAGGGCACAGAAGCCTGAGGTCCTATTCATTCAACGTGGCTTCTACTCTGTGTTCTGCAAAAAGCCCCCACTGGAGAGTGCAGGGTAAAAGGCAGGCCTGCTTCCTGCCAAGGAAGAGCTGAAAGTCCAGCAGGGAGCCTTCTTTGGGCCCAGCAATGAACTCCTGCCTTGCAAATCCCCAGCTCCTAGCAATGCTAACTCACCACAGTTCACAAGCATAACCACATTCTGTGCCTCCACAAAGCCAAGTGGAAAATTTTACTTTCCTTGGGCAAGAAACTAATAAGTTATTCACTTTGGGGAAAATTGTATCCTCTGTTAACAAATATCCTAATTTTTAGGGAATGGGAACTCACTGAAGTGGTACTAATTTATTGACTGTGTCTTGAAGTCTTTTTTTTTTTGAAAAGGGAATTGTTTTTATTGTGGCAAAATATGCATAACACCTGAAATTTGTCATTTGAACCATTTTTAAGTGTACAGTTCAGTGGCATTAAGTACATCCACATTGTTGTGCAGCCATCACCATTTCCAGTGCCTTTCATCATCCCAAACAGAGACTCTGTACCCAATAGCCCCACATTTCTCCCTCCTCCAGCCCCTGGCAACCCCTGCTCCACTTTCTATGAATTTGCCTATTCTAAGTACCTGTAAGTAGAATCATACAGTATGTGCTCTTCTGTGTCTAGCTCATTTCACTTAGCATAATGTCTCCAAGGTTCATCCATGTTGTAGCATGTATCAGTACTTCATTCCTTTTTAGGACTGAATAATATTCCATGACATGGATATTCCACACTTAGATAGGACACAAGCCCATCCACATCTCATCACAAATTCTAAGATCAGTCTCAGCTAGTTTATCAAATTTCTTGGCATACCAGGAATTAATTAACTGGTCTTAATTAATGTGATCCTTCAAAAGAAGGACATCATCTCAATGGGCATCATCTCAATGAGTTATGTCAGGAGATGGGCATGACCTATTGCCCAAGGTGGAAGCCAAACCTGAAATAACCCTTGCCCCTGACCTTGCCGGGTAGGAGCAGCACCATTATCATTCTGTGTTGAAAGTATATTGGATTGGGTTCTATTCTTATAAGATTCTTTAACTTTCAATTTTCAGAAAAGTGCCTATTTTTATAACCACAGATTGTTTTTATTCCCTCAGCCAGTATGAATGTGTGAGATTCCATTTTACTTCAGCTAATACCAAAACTAGCCATGCCAATGATTTTTAATGTCAAACTTGATGTTACATTTGATGTTGCTGTGAGGTAATTTTCTCAGAAGGAAGCCCCTCATGACAGGGCCTTAGATGTGCTGATGGGAAGTGACAGCACTTCGTGCTGTGGGTGAACATGGCAGGCGAGCAATGTCTTGTTTTTCAGGGGCAGGGAACTACTTCCATAATGCTCCACTTTGCTCATTCTCTTTCCTCTCCTCTGTGTTTTTACATCTTTGGACCCAACCTTTAGACAAGATTAGAATTCGTGGGGCTGGAGGATGCTCTCCTAGCATACCCAGCACTGTCATATTAATTTAGTATTTGTTGAGTGACTACTAGGTGTTGGGAACTCTCCCAGGAGCAAGTAGAAAACAATCTGTCACTGTGGAGCTTACATCCTAGTGGGAAAGGCACACAACAGAGATGATAAATAAAATATATAGTATGTTAGTAACAAATGCTAAAGGGAATATAAAGCCATAAAGGAGACAGAAGTGTGTGTGTGTGTGTGTGTGTGTGTGTGTGTGTGTATGTGTGTGTGTTGTAGGAGATAATCAAGAAAATGTGATATGACTGCTGCCTGATCATCAAGCTGGACCCAGACAATCCAAGGCTCCTAACACCATCCCCTGTCCTTGGGATGAACATTCTGTCCTCCATTCCCAAAGTGGGAGCTGGTCCAATGACGTAGCCTTGAAAGAGCCATGTGTTGCTAAGACCATCTGGACAGTATAGTGACTGAACCCAGTTAAGGGCTCTGTATAAACTTTTAAGATTTTTTAGGTAGGTGGAGAGATCTACTCATCTTGCAGCTGCCCAAGACAGGCCTCAGTGTAAGTTCTCTTGCTTATTAAAGCTGGCACCTGCCCATCTGGAATGGCCTGCCTCTTTTTTTTGTCTCTCCTTGCCCTCTGTGTATGGGGCCTGTCTCAGATTTTGCATCTAACTGCACATTAGGTTGCAAACTAACTGTGTGTGGAAAGGAGAGAAGAGTTGAAAGTTTTCATTTGGTAGCCAAGGAAGGCCTCACTGAGGTGATATTAGAATCCAGAAGGATATGAAGGAGAGAGCCATGGAAGCTGGAGGAAGATCTCCTGATCAGAGGAACAAGAGCCCCATCTGAGGCAAGGCCACGCCTCCAGGAACATGCGGGCAGGGGAGGCTGGGCAGGTGGCAGGGGCTGATGGCACAGGCAGTGAAGTGTGGAGTTGAGTTGCCGGGGTGCAGTGGCCCCTGTGAGTCCTTGAGCTTCTTGAGTATTGTTCAGAGCACCATCATGTGAAATACAACTGGAGGCTATTTCCTATCTCTTCCGTCAACCTGGAGGGAGAAAATGAAAGAGAGAGAAAAAGGGGAGGAGATGGAGGGAGGGAAGGAAGATGGAAGAAAGGAAAGGAGGCAGGAAGGAAAGGGGAGGGTGGGAGAGAAAGGAGGGAAAAAACTGAGGAACACAATGCCAAGCTTAAAATTCATTAGCTCAGAAGGAGTCAGTGTCATTGGTGAGAGGTATGGTTAGCTGCTTCCCACTACGCTTCCCACTCTGCAGCCAAGGGAAGGGAACAAAACACACAATGCTGACAACTCTTAATAAAGGAGTGAAAAACTGGTACTCACCCACTCCAATTAGACAATCCTTTTTTCTCACTTTTAATTTCACAAATCAATTAGAATCTAATTACCACTCTGCAAACTTACAGTGTTAATACATCTTACCTTCAATGGAGTTAAAGTCCAATTAGCATGTTTTTCATATACATGAATCTTATGAGCCATCAATTCAGCTATATAGACATACCTTCAAAGAGGAAAGAGCTACATCAAAGCACTTGAATTAATACAATTCAGAAGGTTACAATGAAGTTGTAATAACTCTTCCTAAGGAGGAACTTGGATTAGAGCCTGGAAAATGGAACCCATCTCCAAGCACACCGAGCTCTGAAAGAACTCCATGATCTTACCATGCACAAAGGAGTTATAATCTCTGAAACATTTCTAAAGGTAGGAACCTAGCTTTCCCTGGTTAGTAGGGAAGACACTTAGCCCCTACACCAGCGATTAATATTTGGGAACAAATATGTCACAGTGCTTCTTGGCCAGAGAAAGTGTGAGAGAAGACAAGAGGCTGGGCCTGGGCCTGAAACAAGTCCTCCTCCCTGGCTAGTGAGGTCTGGTCCTAACTCTGTGCAGTCAGCATTTTGCACCCAGGGCAGCGCCGCATGCATCACAAAGACCTGTGGTCAGTCAAACCACAGTGCAGCTCAGAGCTACAGAGAAATGACTGCTTGATTGCCTGCTATTTTTGAAGACCAGGAGGTACTGTGAATAAGTGAGAGTTGTCTAGGCTGCTTTCTCTAATTGTGTTACTAACCCTCTGAAATCCTTGGCAGCACAAGATAAGGAAGGGCTTATATGGATGGATACATAGATTAGGGAGAGAGACCAGGTCCACCCAAAGTGCAATAGATCAGTCCTGGTCTGTGAGCTGTTTCAGGGCCACCACCAGATAATGATGTAAATCAACGACCTCACTAAGCACACTGCTTCGTTCGGCTGATTGTTTTTTTCCCCCAGAGTAACACTTTTTTGATGAAGGAAGCAGTGCCTTGACTTGACATTTGAGTGTAAGCTCTTTGTCACAAGCCAGCACTACTGATGTCAATACCTACACATTGTTAATCTCCCCTCAAAACAAAGCTATTTGGTAATACTAAATGTTTAGCACTGCTCTCCCTCTTGAAATGTACATTATTCCCAAAAAAGGAATTTAAAAGGGTATGCCTTCACAAAATAGAAAATATTGATTTGATAAATTTTATCCCTCCCAAATTTAGATATTATACTTTTTTCCTAATTTTCTTTTAAGAGGAAAACATGTTAGTTTGGGTCCCATTATTTAGAAAATGAGTATGTTTTAAAGATACCTAACAAGAATCTAGGGAAATGTGTGACATTTTAAAGAATTCACATACTTGCCATCAGGTGAAATGTTGATTCCATTAGCAAGATCAAATCCATCTGCCACCACTCGAACTTCATTTGGAGTATAGTAAACAACGTTTGACCATGCTAAGCCCAAATATAACTCCCAGGATCTCAAGTAAGTGTCAACAAAATAGTGGTCATTTGTGGCATAAAATTGCTCAGGTCCTAGAGCAACAATATCATTCAAACTGCAATTCAAACATACACATATGATATATACAGGGGAAGGTATTGTACATTTCAAGGTTATAGACTGATTGGCATTCATTAATGTCTATTCTGAAAGTCACAATGTGGGATGGATCCTTTCCTCTGTTAGGCAGAGAATTAATATGAAGTCAGTCCCATATATACAATCCTCAAAGGCAATAAATCTAAGAAACTCTAAGAGGTTATTATATATTGTAGCAATATAACATAAATCTGATTAACTATGTCTAACAAATAGTACTATGGTATGTGTAGATATACTAAATTCAGTATAGAACTTATTCTTATATAGAACAGTCCAAGACGTCAGCAGGCAGTGGAAGAAAACTGCCAAAGTTGAGACTTGCATTTTAGTTAAAGCTTCACTACTATTAGCTGTGAGATTTAGGGAAAATCAATCGGTTCACATGCCAGTGCCTCACTTTCCTTATCTGAGAAAGGACAATGAGATGGACTGGTCTATCTTGCAGCCTCAAAGGGTACTTGCAGCCTTAAAATTTCATGATTCTAAACTGAGTAAAATGTCCAGAACAAGAATGCTCAGAAATAAGCTGCCACGGCTTTTTTTCTTTCTGGTTTGGATCCTCTCTCTGTTACTGAAAATCTAAGATATATGAGTCTATTTTTCTGCTTAAATAGGTACAACAGTGAACACATAAGTGAGTCTGATTGAGGTGACAGAAGTTCCCCAGGGCCATTATTTGAGAGAAAATTATCTCTGCTCTATTGCAGAAGGTGTAATGGGCAACCCATCAGCCCTGGTGCACCTCCAGGCTCCTGGGTAAGTCAGACAAGTGTACAGAGCCTCAGTTTTCTCATCTGTAAAGAGAGGTAAAAAGAGTTTCCCAAAGTCAGACAGCTCATTAGTGTAAGAATAAGGGTCAGAATCTTAATCTGTGAAGTTGCAGTGGGAATTACAATGAGATAATGCCTGCTGTGTGCTTGCCAGGAGCCTGCCACTCACCAAGCCCTCAATCAATAGTAGCCGCTATTACTACATAAGGAGAAAGGTAGAGGGAGATTCAAGATGGCAGCCAAAACCACATATAATGTGAAAATATAGTTGATACAACTAATCCTAAAAAAGCAACAGGAAAGAAGGCTGTGCCAGACTGCACACACCTGGAGAACAGCGCAGACCTCATGAAACAGGGTAACATACCAAAGCCTTGATCTGGTGGGACCTAAGCCCTTCCCCCACCCCAGCTCACTGGCGGGAGGAAGAGAAACAGAGCAGGGAGGGGGTGGAAGCCTAGGACTGCTGAACACCCAGTGGTGGAGATCTGCTTTGGGAGCACAAACCTACATTGCACAGTGCTCTGGATATTAGTGGGGTTGGAAAGCTAACACAGGCGGAATACTTAGCAAGACTGAGATTCCAGCCATTTGTGGAGGACAGGAACCCACATCCAGCTGCTCCAAAACAAAGGAAAGGCAAGCAGTCTGAGAGGCTTCCTAGCAGCAAGAGGGCTGCTGAAGGAGCTTGCTGCACGGGAGAAAGTATAGGTGGACAAGGTTGTCTGAGTGCACTCTGCCCAGCAGGTTGGGAACTTTCAGGAGCTTCAGGCGCTCCATCCCTCTGGCTGTCTACTCAGCTCCGAGGCCCCCCACTGTGACACACAGCCTGCTGAGCCTTCCTCCTGGCTTACGGGCACAGGCTCACAAACCAGCAGTCCCTGCCCTGGCATCAGGCCAACCAGAGGGAGTCCCGGCCTACAGCAGCTACAGATACAAAGCTCAGAGGCTTATACCTGTGTGCTTGGCCCACTGATTCTAACAGTGGAGACAGGCACTGCAGCTGGGAAGCAGGAAACAGCTCTTTAATCCCCCCAGGCATGAGCGCAGCTCCCCTGCAACCCCTGACGTCACTCCAAGGGCTGAACAACTTCAGAGCACAGAGCCTCCAGTCACTAGAGGGCTCAACATACAAATATGAAACATCAAAGGAACCTGGTTCAAACAAAAATTTCAGAAACACCAGAAAAAGGTCCAAATGTGACTGAACTCACCAATCTTCCTGAATGAGAGTTCAAAATAAAAATCAGAAACATGCTCATGGAGGTACAGAAAAATATTCAAGAACTCAGGGATGAATTTAGGACATAGATTCAATCATTAAGAAATTCCATATCTGAAATGAAACATACAATGGAGGGATTAAAAAGCAGATTAGATGTAACAAAAGAGATGCTAAATGAAACAAAGAGAAGAGGAATACAAAGAAGCTGAGGCACAGAGAGAAAAAAAGATCTCTAAGAATGAAAGAATATTGAGAAAACTGTGTGACCAATCCAAATGGAACAATATTTGCATTATAGGAGTACCAGAAGAAGAGAGAGGAAAAGGGATAGGAAGTGTCTATGAGAAGGTATTGCTGAAAACCTCCCCAATCCAGGGGAGTAGATAGTCTCTCAGGCCATGGAGGTGCACAGATCTCCCAACACAAGGGACCCAAGGAAGAGGACCCAAGGAAAACAAGACTAAGACATATAATAATTAAAATGGCAAAGATCAAGGATAAGGACAGATTTTTTAAAAGCATCTAGAGAGAGAAAAAAGATCACATACAGGGGAAAACCTATCAGGTTATCATCAGACTTCTCAACAGAAACCTTACAAGCCAGAAGGGAGTGGGATGATATATTTAATGCAATGAAGCAGAAGGCCTCGAAACAAGAATACCCTACTCAGCAAGATTATCATTTAAATTTGAAGGAGGGATTAAACAATTTTCAGAAAAGCAAAAACTAAGAGAATTTACCTCCCACAAACCACTTGTACAGTGCATTTTTGAGGGACTGCTATAGATGGAAGTATTCCTAAGGCTAAACAGCTGTCACCAGGGGAAATAAAACCACAGCAAAGTACAACAATTAATCACTAAGAAGATACAAAATCAAATCAACTATTCCCAAAGTCAATAAAGGGACAGAGTACAGAATATGATACTTAATATATAAAGAATGGAGCAGGAAGAGAAATGAAAAAAAAAAAGAACCTTTAGGTTGTGTTTATAATAGCATACTAAGTGACTTAAATTAGACTGTGAGATAGTAAGGGAATTACCCTTGAACTTTTAGTAACCACAAATCTAAAGCCTGCAAGGGCAATGAGTACATACCTACTGATAATCACCCTAAATGGAAATGGTCTAAATGCACCAATCAAAAGACATAGAGTCACTGAACGGATGAAAAAAACAAGATCAATCTATATATCTATATGCTGCCTACAAGAGACTCACTTCAAACCCAAAGACATGCACAGACTAAAAGTAAAGGGATGGAAAAAGATATTTCATGAAACTAATAGGGAGGAAAAAGCTAGAGTTGCAGTACTTGTTTCAGACAAAATAGACTTCAAAACAAAGAAAGTCACAAAAGACAAAGAAGGACATTACATAATGATAAAGGGGTCAGTCCAACAAGAAGATATAACTATTATAAAGATCTATGCATGAAACATAGGGTCACCTACATATGTGAAACAAATACTAAGAGAATTAAAGGGAAGTAGAATGCAATGCATTCATTTTAAGAGATTTCAACATACCACTCACTCCAAAGGACAGATCAACAAGACAGAAGATAAGTAAGGAGACAGAGGCACTGAACAATGTATTAGAACAGATGGACCTAACGGCCACCTACAGGACACTCCATTCAAAAGCAACGTGATTCTTCTCAAGTGCACATGGAACATTTTCAAGAATAGATCATATACTAGGCCACAAAAATAGACTCAGTAAATTAAAAAAGATTGAAATTGTACCAACCAGGTTCTCAGACCAGAAAGATATGAAACTAGAAATAAATTATGCAAAGAAAAATAAAAACCCACAAACACATGGAGGCTTAATAACATGCTCCTAAATAATCACTGGATCTATGACCAAATAAAAACAGAGATCAAGCAATATATGGAGACAAATGACAATAATAATTCAATACCACAAAATTGGTGGGATGCAGCAAAGGCTGTGCTACAAGAGAAGTATATTGCAATAAAGGCCTACCTCAGGAAAGAAGAACAATTCCACATGAACAGTCTAAACTCACAATTAATGAAACTAGAAAAAGAAGAACAAATGAGGCCTAAAGTCAGTAGAAGGAGGGACATAATAAAGATTAGAGCAGAAATAAATAAAATAGAGAAGAATTAAACAACAGAAAGAATCAATGAAAGCAGGAGCTGGTTCTTCGAGAAAATAAACAAAATAGATAAACACCTAGCCAGACTTATCAAGAAAAAAAGAGTCTACACACATAAACAGAATCAAAAATGAGAAAGGAAAAATCACTATGGACACCACAGAAATACAAAGAATTATGAGAGAATACTATGAAAATTATATGCTAACAAACTGGATAATCCAGAAGAAATGGACAACTTTCTAGAAAAATACAACCTTCCAAGGCTGACCAAGGAAGAAACAGAATATATGAATAGATGAATTACCAGCAAGGCAATTAAATTAGTAATAAAAAAAACTACCCAAGAACAAAACCCCTGTTACAGATGGTTCCACTGCTGAATTTTATCAAACATTTAGTAAAGACCTAATACCTATCCTCCTTAAAATTTTCCAAAAAGTAGAAGAGGAGGGAATACTCCTTTACCAAATGCCAAAACCAGGCAAAGACACCACAAAAAAATAAAATTACAGACCAATATCCCTGATGAACTTAGATGCAAAAATACTCAACAAAATATTAGCAAACGAAATCAAAAATACATAAAAAAGGTAAACCATTATGATGAAGTAGGATTTTTTGCGGGGATGCAAGGATGGTACAACACTCAAAATTCCATCAACATCCACCACATCAACAAGAAGAAGGACAAAAACCACATGATCACCTCCATAGATGCTGAAAAAGCATTTGACAAATTTCAACATCCATTCATGATAAAAACTCTCAACAAAGTGGGTATAGAGGGTAAGTACCTCAACATAATAAAGACCATATATGACAAACCACAACCAACATTATACTTAACAGCAAGAAGCTGAAAGCTTTTCCTTTAGATCAGGAGCAAGGCAAGGATGCCCACTCTCCTCACTTTTATTCAACATAGTTCTGAAGGTCCTCACCATGGCAAACAATCAGCACAAACAAATAAAAGGCACCCAGATTGGCAAGGAAGAAGTTAAACTGTTCCTGTTTGCAGATGACATGATATTGTACATAAAAAACCCTAAATAATCCAATTTAATATCTGAATTCAGGAAAGTTGCAAGATACAGAATTTATACACAGAAATCTGTTGCATTCTTATACACTAACAATGAACTAGCAGAGAGAGAAATCAGGAAAACAATTCCATTCACAATTGCATCAAAAAGAATAAAATATCTAGGAATAAACCTAACCAAGGAAGTGAAAGACCTAAGCTCTGAAAACTACAAGACACTCATGAGAGGAATTAAAGAAGATACCAATAAATGGAAACACATCCGGTGCTCATGGATAGGAAGAATTAATATTGTCAAAATGGCCATCCTGCCTAAAGCAATTTACAGAATCAATGCAATCCCTATCAAAATACCAACAGCATTCTTCAATGAACTAAAGCAAATTGTTCCAAAATTCATATGGAACCACAAAAGACCTCAGACAGCCTGAGCAACCCTGAGAAGTAATAAAGCAGGGGGGATTATGCTCCCCAACTTCAACATCTACTACAAAGCCACAGTAATCAAGACAATTTGGTACTGGTACAAGAACAGACCCATAGACCAATGGAACAGACTAGAGAGCCCAGATACAAACCCAAGCATATACGGTCAATTAATGTACAATATAGGAGCCATGGATATACAGCGTCAACCTTTTTGACATCTGGTGTTGGCAAAACTGTGCAGCAACATGCAAGAAAATGAAGATAGATTATTGTCTAACCCCATACACAGAAGTAAACTCAAAATGGATCACAGACCTGAATGTAAGTCATGAAACCATAAAACTCTTAGAAAAAAACATAGGCAAAAATCTCTTGAATATAAACATGAGCAACTTTTACCTGAATGCATCTCCTTGGGCAAGGGAAACAAAATAAAAAATGAACAAATGGGACTACATCAAATTAAAAGGCTTCTGTACAGCAAAGGACACCATCAACAGAACAAAAAGGCATCCTACAGTATGGGAGAATATATCTGTAAATGACATATCTGACAAGGGGTTAACATCCAAAATATATAAAGAACTCACACACCTCAACACCCAAAAAGCTAACAACCTGATTAAAAAGTGGGCCGAGGATATGAACAGACAATTCTCCAAAGAAGAAATTCAGATGGTCAACAGGCACACTAAAAGATGCTCCACATCGCCAATTATCAGGGAAATGCAAATTAAAACCACAATGAGCTATCACCTCACACCAGTTAGGATGGCCAACATAGAAAAGACTAGCAACAACAAATGCTGGCAAGGATGCAGAGAAAGGGCAACCCTCCTACACTGCTGGTGGGAATATAAACTTGCTCAACCATTGTGAAAAGCAGCATGGAGGTTCCTCAAAAAACTCAAAATAGAAATATCATTTGACCCAGGAATTCCACTCCCAGGAATTTACCCTAAGAATGTAGGAGCCCTGTTTCAGAAATACATATGCACCCCTAAGTTTATCGCAACACTATTTACAATAGCCAAGATAGGGAAGCAACCTAAGTGTCCATCAGTAGATGAATGGATAAAGAAGATGTGGTACATATACACAATGGAATATTATTCAGCCATAAGAAGAAAACAAATGCTACCATTTGCAACAACATGGATGGAGCTAGAGGGTATTATTCTCAGTGAAATAAGCCAGGCAGAGAAAGACAAGTACCAAATGATTTTACTCATCTGTGGAGCATAACAAAGCAAAAACTGAAGGAACAAAACAGCAGCAGACTCACAGAACCCAAGAATGGACTAACAGGTACCAAAGGGAAAGGGACTGGCGTGGGTGGGTGGGAAGGGAGGGGTAAGGAGATTAAGGGGCATTATGATTAGCACACATAATGTAGGAGGGGCATGGGGACGGCAGTATAGCACAGAGAAGACAAGTAAAGACTCTATAGCATCTTACTATGCTGATGGACAGTGACTGTAATGGGGTATGTGGTGGGGACTTGATAACAGGGAGAATCTAGTAACCACAATGTTGCCCATGTGATTTTATATTAATGATAACAAAATAAAAAAATAAAAAATTAGAAAAAAAAGATAAGGAAAAAAATGTCTAGGTATTTAGGATTAGTCTGCATGGGTTCCAGGCATAAACCTGCAAGGGGGGCGAGGACATCTCTCTCTTAAGGTAAATTTCCAAAATTAGCTACTCTACAATCATTTGTTTGTTTCTCATAAAAAAGGAGCAGAGTGGAATGATTTAGAGTAATAGCTTTGAAATCTGATGGACTGCATTTGAATCCTGACATTGGTCAATGGGGCCACATTCATATCACTAAATTCTTAGCTTGTTCCTCTCTGTACATTGAAAGGTTACGGTAAGAATAAAATGAAAGAATGGATGCTAAGACCTTGGCACCACGACGGTCACAGTAATGACCATTGTGTTATAATTAACAATAAGATGTTTAAATTATAATAGATTAGTACTTGGAATATTAATGCTATAAACAATGTAAACAACCATCAGATACAAAGCAGAGAGTATACATGGCTAGTTCTTGGGTTGAGAGAGCAGATTTTTCCTTAATTGTGGCACTATGGTTCCCTTCAGTTTGGTTCCATATAGTCAAAGACTAGTATCTTTGCAGCTGGCCCAGAAAAGAATACTGTAATCCTGAGAAATTGGACAAATATCTGCAATTTCCAAGATTAAATAGTGAAACAAATACAAGTTTTCACTTTTTTATACTGGCTCAGAGCACCAGCTCAAGACTCAAACTACCAGGATTAAAATCCCAGCTGTCTGCTTTGCTGATGGTGTCCTCTGGGGCAAGTTCAATTCTCCAGGCTTCAGATTTTTCTTTTAGTCAAAATGGTATAATAATAAAATCTAATTAAGATGGGCTTTGTAAAAAGTTAATAAAATGATCTGTTTAAATCTGCTTGGTTATTGTTATTGCAGCACCTAACTCATACTTAAGTTCATTAAATTGTTATTATTATCATTATTAGCCCAGCTTCTCTATTCTACATACCTTTGCCTAATTTAGGTCTTGGTATCTGGCACATTCACTAGACCCTCAGTGTTCTCATTTTCTTTCCAAATAAAATTTGTTGAATGAGTGTATGAATAACCTCTCCTACCAAAAGCTGTCCTCTGAATTCTCACTCATTCTAGGGAGGCAGAAGACCTGGGTGGTAGCTCCCATTCAGCTAATTAATTGATTGGCCTTCAGCCAGTAACTCAATTTCTCTCTAGTCTCAGTCTGCTCATCTTGAAAAGCACCGGGTAAGAAAACAAAGGGGCACTGGTCACACTGAGTGCCCATTGCACACAGGCACTGTGCTAGGTACCTGCACTTAAGTAATGCATGGTTTAAAAGAAATCAAGATTTACAAATACTGATGTCATCTATTGTTGTATGGAAATTATTCGAATAGAGATCAAGATTCTGGACAATCATAATGATTAGAGGACAAAAATTATTTGGGAAGATGGTATCAGATTATTGTCCTAAATCCAGCCTCATAAACCAAATCCTAAGGCAAGTGAGGAAGTTGACTCTGTTTTGGGTTGATGGGGACCAGGGGATCCTTGGGTGTTTTCTTTCTCCATATGTTATATTGTCAAGGAACCTAGGCTGCAGCTGAGTGTTACCACAGGTCAGCTATTCCATAAATTATGTGCAACCACACCTCAGTAAAGCTGGTGCAGGGAGGTCTTGGAGGCCCAGGTTTCAGGTCTCCTCTTAGGTCTGTTTCTAATTCATAGAAATATTCAAGACTCTAGTCTTTTTTTTTTTTGGTATCATTAATCTACAATTACATGAAGAACATTATGTTTACTAGGCTCCCCCCTTCACCAAGTCCCCCCTCCACAAACCCCATTACAGTCACTGTCCATCAGCATAGTAAGATGCTACAGAATCCCTACTCATCTTCTCTGTGTTGTACAGCCCTCCTCATGCCCTCCACCATATTACACTTACAATAGCCAAGAAATGGAAGACTCTATTCTTTAAATACAAAAATATATAAAAAATAAATCAGCTTAAGATGTGGAATTCATTTATGAAACTGGGTTGAGTTTTACACACTAAGTTGGGTTTTGGAGAACAAAGTTTTTCCTTGGTAAAATCTCAAAAGAACATTTTGAGGCCAGGAGCCATAAACCAGCACCCAGCTAGTGTGGGGGGTTGGGGGGATAAGGGCGGAAGCAAATGGGTCTTCTCCAAAGGGCTTGAGTCGTCAGAAGTTTCTGCAGAAGAATATTTGGAAGAGTTGGTGATCATCGGAAAGGAGAGTTGAATAGCAATTATCAAACCTCCACCCAAACCCAGCCATAAAGAAAAACTAAAAGTGCATTAACCATCCACTGGTATTAAAGGAAAATAGAAATATGATATATCACAATACTTAGGCAGAAGTTCATGTCTGATGGTTTTCAGATGCAAAAGTGATTTTTCGTCTTCTTGAAATTTAAGCAATTCAACTGTGGACTTAACATCTGGATGGTTCACTACTAGCAGGTACACAGTATTATCTGAGAAGAGATTAAAAACAAAAGTTGAAACATTAACTGAGCCCTCAGCTGTCAGCCCTGTCTCCAAAAACACCTCCAACTAGTACTTAGGGTGTCAGACAGATGGAATATTTTCATCTCTTCGCAGAGAGAAGTATTTGTGATTGCTCCAAAGAAAAATGGCTAAAAGAAGAACTAGTGACAGTCTCTAAAAACTCCAAACTCCATAGCAGGGAGGAAATCCTCAACTTAAGAAGGAGAGGTGCCTGACACTAAAACTCCAAAGTGCTAATTAAGTTTTCTACTGCAATTCTTTCTATTGCAAAAAGATGCAGAGATGACATAAAAGACATAAAAGATATGGAGAATACCAATATGAGATGGTATGCTCAGGTAGACTTTACACAGTGTAAGATGACAAACTCCATAAAAAGAACACCTGAGAGACAGTATCAAAGGGAAGTAGTTTCGTGAGTTGGCGCAACTTCGGGATGTAAAAAAGCCCAGTCTTAAGTGGTCAAGAAGATGTGATCAGAGTTAGCAGGTGAAGTTAGATTATAGTCTTTGCCTGAAGAAACAGCAGGAAGTTCTTTGGAAACCTTTAACATGACCAAATTGAGGCTTAAAGAAATGCAATGCAAAGTTTAGTAGATTGAATTGAAGAGATTTGAAGAGAGAAGCCAGCTAGGAGATTCCTCATTGATCCGTTCAAAAACAAGTGTTTATTTTAATTGGTGTTAAATGCTACAAAGAGAAAATAAAACCAGATAAAGGAAGGGAGAGTAATGAGATGTTTTCTTCATGGGAGTCAGAGAAGTTCTGATGAGAAGATGCTAAAACAGAGACCCAAATGAAATAGAGACCAAACCATGTGAATATCTGGAGAAAAAGCAGATAGGCTGAGAGAAGAGACTGTGCAAAGGGCCTGAGGCAGGAGCTTCCTTGTTCACTTAATAATGAGGTTGTAGATTGAGCGAAAGAAAGAGTGGGAGGGCTGAAACCATAGAGGTAGGGAGCCAAGGTCAGTCTTGTAAGGCCTTGGGCAAGTATCTAGGGTTTATTCATCAGCCAAAGACTAAAGTGACCTGAGGGTACAGCACAATTCCAGACATGTGAAGGGAAGGAACTGGACCAAGAAGGTGGTACTGACAAGAAAGGGCAGGAAAGAAGAATATGAGAGGTATTTGACAGGAAGTATAAAAAAACTTGACAAGGAGGATCAAAAGTATCAAGATGTCTGAGGAATAAGGGAGTGGGAAATCAAATGTAAGTGACAATTCATGTTTTGCACAGAAGTTTCCACCTCTAGGAATTCATCATAAGGAATTATTCACAGAAAATATTTGTACAAGAGTGTCTATTCTGGCACTGCTTGCAATGAGCATATAGGTGGGAACAGACTAAATATCCACAACCAGAAGAACTATATATTACGGTATTCCCTTCAACTGAATCCTCAACAGCCATTGCAAAGTAGCTCTAAATGCACTATCATAGAAAGGAGTCTGTGATACAGTGTTTGATGCAAAAGCAATTTATAGAAGGGTTTGTGTACTATTTTTGTAATGTTGCCCTATTTTTATTTTTAAAGTTATACTGTGCACATTCAACACTATATTTCTTTGCAGTTAAAATAATTTAAAATAAATTTAAAATAAAATATAATGTTGATAAATGAGTGGAGAGATCACTGAAAACAAATATATATAATAAATTATATACATGATTTGTTGTAAATTATATACACATGTGTAAATAGATAAAATTATATAAATTTCTCTTTTATAGATGTAAAATCATGTGGAGTAGAGGTGGAGAAGGGAAGATCATTTTTTGACATTTTGAGTTTAAAGTGGCTATAGGGGAGAAACCCAAACAGAAATATTTAGTAAGGTAAAGGAATGGAACTGAAGAGCTGATTAAAAAAAAAAAATTACCCCATTGGGGGTGTTCTTCTAGAAAGCAGGTACAGGTGCAGCTGTGACATGACTGAACTTTCTGAATAGAGAAAATGAAGAAGAGGCAAAATATCAGTCCTTTGGGGAATGCTCATAGTATTCAAAATGACTGACAATGAGCAGGGAGAAAAACTGCAGGAGGATCAGAACTAGAACAGATAGGCGTATTGGATATCAGAGAGGAGCAACTTACATGAAGGAAGAGGTGGTCAACAGCATAAAATGAGGTGGCAAAGGAAGGTGGGAAGGAAGGTGGGCAGATGGGAAGGAAGGTGGGCAGGGGAGTGCAGGGGAGGGGAGGAATGAAGGAAGTAGAGGAAGAGAAGGAACAGGTTTCTTATGGAGGACATTACTGATGACTTTCAAAGGAGCAATTTTAGCCATTTACAATGGGAAGAGCCTGGAAGAAAGACTGAAGGACAGAGTGTCTGCTAAGGAGATAAGAGGAAATGGGTATAGACATGGTTCTCAACCCCAGCCTTACATGTTTCTAACCTGGTGAACTTCTAACAAGTACTTCTGCCCAGGCCCTGCTCAGACCAACTAGGTCAGGATACATGGGATTGGGGCCTGGGCATCAGGCTTTTTAAAACTCTCCATGGTTAGAACAAATCAATGAATTCAGTAAAGCTGCAGGGTACAAAATCAATAGACACAAATGTTTTGTTTCTGTACACTAATAATGAACTATCTGAAGGAGAAATTAAGAAAACAACCCCATTTACAATTGAATCTCCCCCCAAAATATTTAGGAATAAATTTAATCAAGGAAAGACCTGTATATTTGTAACTACAAGACATTAATGAAAGAAGTTGAAGAAGATATGAATAAATAGAAAGATATTTATATTTCACGGTCCTGGATTGGTAAATAAATATTAAAATGCCTATGCTACCCAAAGCAATCTACAGATTCAAGGCAATCCCTATAAAAATTCCAATGGCATTTTTCAAAAGAAATGGAATAAATAATCCTAAAATTTGCATATAACCACAAAAAATCCCCAATAGCCAAAGCAATCTTGAGAAAGAAGAACAAAACTGGAAGCATCACACTCCCTGATTTCAAACTATTTTACCAAGCTATAACAATGAAAACAGTATGGTATTGGCATAAAAAACAGACACTACATCAGTGGAACAGAATAAAGGGCCCAGAAATAAATCCATAGATATATGGTCAACTCGCAACAAAGGAGCCAAAAATATATCTTGGGGAAAGGATGGTCTCTTCAATAAGGGGCATAAGGAAACTGGACAGCCACATGCAAAAGAAAAGATTCTACCACTGTCTTAACACCATTCACAAAAATTAACTCAAAATGGATTCAAGTCCTCAACACAAAGCCTGAGACCATGAAACTCCTAGAAAAAAAATATATAAGCAGTAAGCCCTTTGACACTGGTCTTGGCAAAGCTTTTGCACAGCAAGGGAAACCATCAACAAGATGGAAAGGCAACTTACTGAGTGGGAGAAAATATTTTCAAGTCACGTACCTGGTATGGAGTTAATATCCAAAGTGTATAAGGAATGAATATAAATCAATAGAAAAACCAATCTGATTAAAAAAGTGGAAGAAAATCCAAATAGATGTATTTCCAAAGAAGGTATACAGATGACCAACAGGCACATGAAAAGATGCTCAAGATCATTAATCACCCGGGATATGCAAATAAAGACCACAATTAGATATCACCTCACACCTGTTAGAATGGCTATTATCAAAAAGACAAGAAATAATGAGTGTTGGCAAGGATGTGGAGAAAAGGGAACCCTCATACACTGTTGGTGGGAATGCAAATTGGTGCAGCCACTAGGACAAACAATATTGAATTTCCTCAAAAAATTATAATTAGAATTATGATATAATCCAGTAATTCCACTTGTGGGTATTTATCTGAAGAAAATGAAAACACTAACTCAAAAAGATATATATGCCTATGTTTACTACAGCATGATTTACAAGAGCCAAGATATGGAAGTAGCCTAAATGTTCATGAATGGATGAATGGATAAATTGTAATATATATGTATATCATACATACATACATATATACATGTATGTATTACTCAATTCAAACTATATTCCATATATGTGTGTGTGTGTGTGTGTGTATTATTCAGCCATAAAAAAGAATGAAATCTTGCCATTTTCAACAACATGGATGGACTGTCCTCAAGGGAGTTATGCTTTGAAATAAGTCAGACAAAGACAAACACTGTAAGCTCTCTCTTATATGTGGAATCTAAAACAAAACAAAACAAAAACAAGCTCATAGTCACAGAAAACAGATTGGGTGGTTGCCAGAGGTAGGGGTAGAAGAAATGGGTGAAGTGGATCAAAAGGTAAAAAGAAAAAAAAACATAGGTGAAGTAAAACTCTCAGGTGCTTCTGTGTTCAACTGGGGTTGAGAATTAATGTAGAGACAAAAGAACAGTATATCAATAGAAAGGAAGAAATGGGATAAAGGCATAGGGGGAGTGGGGTTGGGGTGGCAACATGCTGAAAAATTACTGAAATTCACATGAGCAGTTTGAAGACCAAACAGAGGAACCACTGGACAAGGAGACATTGAAGGCGACAAGGCTGAGAAAAAGCTGACCATTGAGATTTCTGCCAGTGGACCTATAGGATGCAGATGTTAGGTTGGAAAAGTCTATTCCTGCAAATTCCTGGATCTGTAAAATTGTTTAAAATGGAAAAGCCGTAATAATTAGGGATGAATATTATTGCTATAATATTTATAGGGATAATGTGAATGTTCATTTTTGAAAAAATTAGATACTTTACAAATCTTAAATATTTTAGTATTCTCAAGCATTTAAGTGGTTATGATATAATATTTAATTAACACGGGGGGTAAGTTTAAAAGCCCAAATAATACCATTATTTTGGTTATACTCTAGTTGAATATGAAGAAATATTCTTTCATTAACATTTTTCTGGTTTGTTTTTAATTTGGTTTCACTTTTCATAAACATTAAATACTGTTACCTTCATCTATGAATGTGCTAAGCCCATGAGGGTTAAATGAAGACAAATCAAATGTGCTTCCAGTGATCCTCAATTCTAACACTGTTGGATTTTCTTCATTCAGGTCCATCAGAAGTATTTTTCCAGGCTTATCAGGTTCAAAGCTCTTTATTCCAGGATATTTTAATCCCTTGTAAATCATGAAGAAGGAAAAACAGGCACATTACAAATACTTCAAATGCTGATGGAGGTGGTGAATGGCACATGGGTTCACACTGTGTGGAAACACAGGACTGCATGGGAAGCCTCTTGGCTGGCTTATGTAATAGCCCAAGGGGGGCTCTGGGAGTCACATGCTTCACCACGCCCCCACACACAACACACAGGCACATACCCTTCCATCACCAGCAGCAAAGCCATTTGTGTCCATACCACAGTTTCCGACACATGAGAAAGCTCAAAAATGGAAGGGCAGACTAAAAGGGCATTGACTAATGGGCTTTGATAACATAAGCAAAGAATGTGGAGAACACTGGTTATCAGGCATTTTTTTAAGCATTTTTTTGTGTGTGTGAAATAGGGCAAATATGCAGAAAAGTGCATAAAACACAAATGTTCTTTAAGGAATTATTAAAAAGTAGACACTTGTAATCAGCACTCAGATACAGAAAAAGAATTTGCCAGGAGCCCCACCCTGCCCCTTCCTGACCACAACCCCTTCTCTTACCCCTAAAGGTAACTATACCTCTGATTTTTTTTTATTGAGATACACACAATAAATTGCACAAATCTTAGTTTATAGCTGGATGGATTTTTACAGGCGTATCCATTCATGCAACCATCACCCAGATCAAGATATCAAACATTCTCATTAATTTTAACCCTTTCACCTATTTCACCCATTCTCCACCCCCCCATGGCAACACCAGTTCATTCTCTGTGTTTATAAGTCTGTTTGTTTTGTTTATTTGTTTTGTTTTTTAGATTCTACATATATGTGAAGTCATACGGTATTTGTATTTCTCCGTCTGACTTATTTCACTTAACCTAACACCCTCTAGGTCCATTCATAGAGGCACAAATGGCAAAATTTCATTCTTTTTATGGCTGAGTACTGTTTCATTGTGTATATGTACCACATCTTCTTTCCATTCATCTATCAATGGACAGCTTCCATATTTTGGCTGTGGTAAATAATGCTGCAATATACATAAAAGTGTATATGCTTTTCAAATTAGTGGTTTTGTTTTCTTTGGGTAAGTGGAAAGAAACTCACTATCACTAATCTTTAGGAAATGTAAATCAAAACTGCAACTAGATATCACCTTACATCAGTCAGAATGACTATCATCCAAAAGACAGTAACAAGTTTGGCAAGGATGTGGAAAAAGGTGCACTCTTGTACCCTGCTGGTGGGAATGGAAACTGGTACAACTACTATAGAAAGCAGTATGGAGGTTTCTCAAAATCCAAAAACAAATACCATATGACCCAGTAACTTAATTGGTTATGTTTTTTTTAAACTGTTCTTTGGAAGGTTCTTCGGAGGCATCTCAGGGACAGAGTTTCAGGGGAAGTCTAGTGAGCTCTGGGAACAACTTCTTTCTTAGCCTTCAATTGGAACCACACAGCTGTTACTTGTTTTAGATATTGGGGTCAAGATAAGATTNTATTGAAAACCATTTTGGAAATATAAGCAACTTCCAAATGCTTCAGTTAGAATGGAGATACATTTCATATACAGAATAAGCATTTACTATTAGTTATAAACATCAATAAATATCAAGTTAGTTATACTCCCAGTACATGTAAATTTTTAAAATTTCAACCAATGTAGAGACAAATGACATTTTTGATTATGTATTGGTACTCTTAATGTTGTTTGTTTTTCAAATATCCAGTGATATCTGATATCAATATCAAGTCTATTTTCTAGAAAAAGTTTCACTATAAGCACCATAAGATATCTGACCAAGCTTATTGATGCTAAGTGAATATGTCATCTGGTTTAGCCTTTCTAGCCTTAGCCAACTGAGGTAAGTAATTCTAAAAAAAAAAAAGAGAGAGAGCAAAGAATAAAAGCATGGATTTCAAACAAGTTGTCATCAAATAACAAAGCTGGTTGGTTGAAGCCGGGTGGGGACCTGAGTCCTCTGACACTCCCCACTGGTTACCCACCGGCTGCTATTTGCCTGCGTCTTCTTCTTTGCTGACAGGGCCTGCCTCCCACAGTGGAGATCCAATAATTACTTTCCCAGCTTCCCTTGCAGCTAGGGCTATGGCCTGTTGCCTGGCTCTGACTAAGATCTAAGGAGAAATCTGCTGAGAGCTTCTGGGAAAAAACTTCCTCCCTGATTTTAAAAAGAGATGCATGAGGGGAAGCCTTGTGGTCACTGTAAAGATGTGTGAGGGCTTTTAAAAAATGTACCCTTTACTCACTACTTTTTCTCCTTCTTCACTCCCTCCTCTGACATCTCCTCAGGTTATATTACCATAAAATCAAGTGTTGTTCTGACTATTGTTTTTGCTAAACTGGCCTAAACAAAAACAATTTAAAAACTGTCAGTACATTGGCAATATGTTGGTGAAGTCAAAAGTCAAAAAACACACTATTTATAATTAACTACTGACTTAATAAGATGCACCTGGTTCATAGTTTTATATTTGAACAAAATTAAATATGTGTATAATCAAATCAATAGCAAGATAATACTGCAAGTTCAAATGAGACACTTCCTCCTCTCAGATGCTTACCTATTCCTTTAATTAAATTGCAGTTAGGAAGGTTTACTGGTTCTACTTCTCGGAAAGCATTCATTCGTGTTCTGGGGAAGAAAAAAAAGAATAAAGTAGCAAAGGTAAGCAGCCAACGAAGTTCTCTTTAACTGAACTTTGCCTGGGTTTCAACCTTAGGGTTAGTGGTCCTGGAACCTAAGAAACTTTAACAGGCAAGAACAGAGCAAGACACATGGGGTGTGTAGGTACAGTTAGTGTTTATTTAGCAGAGGTGGACAGATACACAAAAGAGATACAAAATGTCCTCTCCTAGGCTCTGTGCACTTTGGCAGTAACAGGAACTATTTTATCAGTTGTGTAAAAAGTCATATGTGGAAATTTGGGTTAAATAGTAACATGGTTCCAACTTATTCCATTGATGTTTCAGGGCTGCTAGCAGATGGACCTTCTGCTCATCTTCCCAGTCTGTCTCCAAAGCTCGAACTGGGCATCTGCTATTGGGTCTGTTTCTTGAAAAACACAGGTGTGCTCAAAGGATTCATAACTTCAGAAAGTCATACCCATATATATAAACATACACTCAGTTCGACAAATACTTGGGTAAACCTCTTAAGTGCTTCAAGGGATAGACAGCTGAATGGGAAGCCATTCTTGAGCTAACTGGGCTCATAAGTTGCTGCAGTGGAAGGTAAGATAGTACAAGAGTTCAATGTACATATGGAATACACAAATGCAAAGAATGCATTCAGTCAATATTATAACACCAGTATAAATGGACACACAGTTTGTTTTCTGAACCATATGACCTTTCATTTTATTTGAAGGTAGGTATCAGTATATAAGAGACTTAAGTGAAAGACTTAGCTGCTGGCCCTAGAAAATGGTCTAGAATACAGTAAATGAAAGAAAACACTTACAGAGCTAATGAAAGCTAGTCCATTAGGAAGTATCTCCAAGTCTTCAGAGCCAGCTTCTGTCAGAATTAAGAACAGAGAGCTCAGACTGTTTCAGACTATGGCTGGAAGCTAGTGATCCTTTTCTTTATCACTCCTAACTTGATAATGGAGCTACATATTTAACTCTTCTCTCATAGGTGCAGAATACTTAATTCTCTCATTCATTTGTTCAAATTGACTAATATAGTTATATAAAAATTAAAAGAAATTAATAGAAATAAGTGTAATTTAAATTGACACAATATATTTGCTGTAATTGCTGGGCTAGAACTTTTTCCTCAGAGTCTGAAATCTCTTACATAAAGTTCATGGGGATTCACAAAATATACAAAATGTAAGATACTTTGAAAATAGCTTGCTGTTTTTTTAAATGCACTGAGTAAACTACCAATATATATTGATACTTTATAGTTCCAAGTCAAATAAACTATTGAAAACCATTTTGGAAATATAAGCAACTTCCAAATGCTTCAGTTAGAATGGAGATACATTTCATATACAGAATAAGCATTTACTATTAGTTATAAACATCAATAAATATCAAGTTAGTTATACTCCCAGTACATGTAAATTTTTAAAATTTCAACCAATGTAGAGACAAATGACATTTTTGATTATGTATTGGTACTCTTAATGTTGTTTGTTTTTCAAATATCCAGTGATATCTGATATCAATATCAAGTCTATTTTCTAGAAAAAGTTTCACTATAAGCACCATAAGATATCTGACCAAGCTTATTGATGCTAAGTGAATATGTCATCTGGTTTAGCCTTTCTAGCCTTAGCCAACTGAGGTAAGTAATTCTAAAAAAAAAAAAGAGAGAGAGCAAAGAATAAAAGCATGGATTTCAAACAAGTTGTCATCAAATAACAAAGCTGGTTGGTTGAAGCCGGGTGGGGACCTGAGTCCTCTGACACTCCCCACTGGTTACCCACCGGCTGCTATTTGCCTGCGTCTTCTTCTTTGCTGACAGGGCCTGCCTCCCACAGTGGAGATCCAATAATTACTTTCCCAGCTTCCCTTGCAGCTAGGGCTATGGCCTGTTGCCTGGCTCTGACTAAGATCTAAGGAGAAATCTGCTGAGAGCTTCTGGGAAAAAACTTCCTCCCTGATTTTAAAAAGAGATGCATGAGGGGAAGCCTTGTGGTCACTGTAAAGATGTGTGAGGGCTTTTAAAAAATGTACCCTTTACTCACTACTTTTTCTCCTTCTTCACTCCCTCCTCTGACATCTCCTCAGGTTATATTACCATAAAATCAAGTGTTGTTCTGACTATTGTTTTTGCTAAACTGGCCTAAACAAAAACAATTTAAAAACTGTCAGTACATTGGCAATATGTTGGTGAAGTCAAAAGTCAAAAAACACACTATTTATAATTAACTACTGACTTAATAAGATGCACCTGGTTCATAGTTTTATATTTGAACAAAATTAAATATGTGTATAATCAAATCAATAGCAAGATAATACTGCAAGTTCAAATGAGACACTTCCTCCTCTCAGATGCTTACCTATTCCTTTAATTAAATTGCAGTTAGGAAGGTTTACTGGTTCTACTTCTCGGAAAGCATTCATTCGTGTTCTGGGGAAGAAAAAAAAGAATAAAGTAGCAAAGGTAAGCAGCCAACGAAGTTCTCTTTAACTGAACTTTGCCTGGGTTTCAACCTTAGGGTTAGTGGTCCTGGAACCTAAGAAACTTTAACAGGCAAGAACAGAGCAAGACACATGGGGCGTGTGGGTACAGTTAGTGTTTATTTAGCAGAGGTGGACAGATACACAAAAGAGATACAAAATGTCCTCTCCTAGGCTCTGTGCACTTTGGCAGTAACAGGAACTATTTTATCAGTTGTGTAAAAAGTCATATGTGGAAATTTGGGTTAAATAGTAACATGGTTCCAACTTATTCCATTGATGTTTCAGGGCTGCTAGCAGATGGACCTTCTGCTCATCTTCCCAGTCTGTCTCCAAAGCTCGAACTGGGCATCTGCTATTGGGTCTGTTTCTTGAAAAACACAGGTGTGCTCAAAGGATTCATAACTTCAGAAAGTCATACCCAAGGCCAGCATATAAAAAGGCACTTCGCGCACACACACACACAAAAAGCAACTCACTAAATCTGAGTACATAAACATCATGGGGAACATTAAGTGAAGGACAAAGGGAAAAAGGACAGGCGTGAGAAGGAAATACCAGCAGGCCGCCCGAGCTGAGCAAAGCTCCCGATGAGGCATTTGAAAGAAACGCACCACAGCAACAGGAGCACAGCCAAGAGATTTAAACAATAAACATGTTTTGAAAACTAATGATATAATATAATCTTAGTGAGTAGCAATAATTATCCAAGAATCCCTAGAAATCTTATTTGGCTAAAGATAGAATGAGAAAACTCTTCACTTGCCTTACTGATAATTTCATTTCACAGAAGGAAGAGGATGGGCCAGGGGTGAATGGACACTCTGGATAAAATTCCTAACAACATGGTATTAAATGACAGGAATTTGGAGGTGACTGGCCTCTCATCCTTTCATTCAGAAAAAAACATGTTCCTGCTACCATGTCATTGGCTATCAATTCCACCTTTAAAGAGGGTCTGATACAAGGAGTGGGGTCTTGTAAGCAGCTTTGTTAAATAAAGCACCACAGTTCATTCTGATGCACAGTCAGAGTGGAGAACCACCCGTCTGGGTGCTAGAGAGCCAGAGATAAATGAATAGATGAGGAAGACCCGGCATGCCAGGAGAATGGTTTTCTGAATAATGGACATGAATTTAGCAGGCAGATTTCAAAGGAAAGGTGGGATCTGTTCCTATGATTTGAGAAATAAAAAGATATTTCAGAACTGGAAATTTGACATTTTGAAATCTGACAAATCTGAAATCACGGAAGTCTGCAATAAAGAAATAAAAGGGAAAGTGATGGCGCAGTGGTGTGCAAACTTTTCAGACTGCAACCCATATTAGAAAAAGCATTTTACATGACAAATATACACACACACATCTGAAACAAGGTTCACAAAAGAGCACTCATCCTAATATGTGCAATATAGTCTGAATTTTTCTATTCAATTCTATTTAATTTATTTTAAAATGATGGTCATAACAAAATTGATTTTGTGACCCATCATTTTGCAAAACACTGGTCTAGAGAAAGGTCAGTGAATATTCATAGAGTGCCCCAAGGAACTCAAAGGACAGGTACAAGATGTTAAGGGTGCAGATCATGACCAAGGATAGTACAAAGAGTGACACAGAAGAGTCAATGATGTGCAATCACTTGGCTTTTAGCTTTCCATCAAGTCAAAACCACACAGGATGAACAGCTCACAAGGCTCATTAAATGTGGTGGGTTCACAGAGGACAGAGAAAAGCAAAACCAATTAACCCCTATTCTAATTCAGTCTTTTTTCTAGGGGCAGATGATCTCTAACTTGTAAAAGGAAGAATAATCACAGTTAAAAAGGGAGCCAAGGGTAGGTAAGGAGACATTAAATCAGCATTCAGTTGCTCTGAGTTCAAATATGTGACCAACACAATCATACCTCAATAGGATAATGACTGTCACTACAGTTCAGGTACTGTATACAAACACTTCCCTGAAGTATTAGTTTCCCTAGTTTGCAGATGACTAGGATTAAGTGACTTTTTAAAGCCCCAAAGTAATGAAGTGGCTGAGCTGGGATCAGAACTCAAGCATCAACGTAAAGTTTACATTCAGTCTTGGACCCAAGCAAAATTTACAGATACCACTGCTTAAAAGCTAGAGGAAGCACCAGAAGACAGTATTACCTGTATTACTATAATCCAGCCCATGTTTTTCTTATTCTCAATTATCATGAAATACCTTACAAAGTGCTTAAGTCCAAATGTTCCAAGTCTAAGGAATAAAATTCAATGTCTGACCTGTGTTCCTAAATCATTAGTCTCTGAACACTGGCCAGAAATTACACAGTCCTTGCTGTGAATTATTCTTTGTAAATGTGTGCTTACATCTTACAAAACGAAGTGAAGATCCTTAGCTAGGCACTAAGAAATCCATTCTAGAACTTTCCTTGAGGCCATACTTACCCTCATCAATCTGCTTTCTGCTTCTGCATGCTCTAATTCATTTAATATTCTCTATTGGGGCCTACTATGTACCAAATCACTCACACACATACATCCTTACTCAGCTTCCTGAGTCACCTTGGAGGCAAGGATGAATATTTCGCCTGTTTTATAGAAGTACACTGAGGCATGGAGAAGGTAAGTAGTTTGCCTGTAGTCACTTATTTAAAAGGGAGTTGGGATTTGAAATTAGGTGTCATGATACTGAGGACCCTTTTCTCTTCATCACTTGCACACCTCTTTTCATCTGCTCAGGCTTTTCCCTCCACCTAGAACACTCTTTACCTCCTGATCCATTGGGAAGACTGATCAGGAGTCATAGTCACGACATTTTTTAGCTTCTCCTTTTCTTGTGATAGGATTAATAGCTCCTTTTACAAATGTGACAAATGAACTGTCACATTTACACTGATCAAGTCTCTCACTATGTTGCTTTACAATTATCAGTTTTTAGTCTTGCTGCTCACAGTAAACTCTGAAATCTGTGAGTGAATGCTGCGTCCTGTTCATCTTGTGTCTTCCAGCATGAACACAGCACTCAGAGAGCAAAGGAACTTAATGGATGTGTGCTGAATGGTTTTGTGGAATTAGCAGGCTCGTGCATGAGATGGAGAAGATGGTGTTGGCTGTATTGACGAGGGGAGGCTAGAGTTATAGGTCCTTAGCCCAGGGTCTCAATGAGGTATTATCATAATATTATTCAAGTATCACTCAAGTTAATAATGTATATAACTGTTGAATCACTATGTTGTATATCTGAAACGAAAATAATAATGTGTATCAACTATACTTCAATAAAAAAACTGTAAAAACAATTAAGATCATCTGTATATTAAAAAAAGTAAAAAGTATCACTCATTAGGTACATCACTCATGGGTGGATTTTTGGCAATAATAAAAGCTAACATTTATAGCACCTTTTACATGCCAGATTTTATATATATCCTGCTGTGATATGTACTATTATCCCATAATTGTTAGGTGGAGAAAGAGCTCAGATGGGAAAATGACTGGAAAGTTGCAGAAAGGAGACCCACCCACCATCTTCTAGAATCCACCACTGCCCTCTTCCCACTAGAGTGTGGTGTCTGGAATGGGCATGGGGTGCAGGTGGCAGAAATGCCAACCACTAGCTTGCAGTCTCCTTCTAATGAAGGGAAATGCAGTGGTCTCAGGCATTACAGTCGGCAGGAATAGGGCAGCTGCCGCAGAGGTGCAGGGCTGCAACATTCTGCACTCCCAGGGGCACTGTTTATATCCAGATCCACGGCATCCTCTAGGCTTGTGCAGTGCACCCCGTAAGCGGCAAGCCACTAACTACAAAGATGGGCAGGAGAACTACTGACTGATTCAGCGGAGCTCTCAGTCCCTTACTCTGTGCTATCACCTCGGAGGTGTCAGGAACCTCACCTCCACCTTCACACCACCAACGCACACACCTCTGTATCCTTCCACTAGTCTCTCCAGCCCAGACCTAGATAACTTCCTGTGAACCTATCCCACTCCCCCTGCACCTCATCTCAGAATAAGAAATGAAAGTATCCATGCTGGGGATTTGGTTTGGCGCTAGTGTAGGCCTCAGGGTATACGTTCTTTTCTCTCTCCCTTGGGCAGATTCAGATTCTTCTGGATTCAGGGGTCTCTCTTATCTCTAGAATGTGGATGAAGGTACTTTACTGATCCTTAGGATCTCTTGATGTGGATTTAGCATGAATGATGCTGGATTTGAATGTCTTTGAGAGAAGTGCATAGAGATTCCCCTGGGAGGCTTGTAAATATTGCGGATTCTGACTCACCAGCCTGGAGTGGGCTATGAGAGCCTGCAAGTGCAGGGAGCTCCCAGGTGATGCTGGAGCATCAGCCCAGAGCTGGTCTGAGTCAATCTTTAGGGCCTTTCAAACAGAAGGTGTGACTTCCCTCCCTCCTCCTGCTGGCTGCTCCCCCAGGCTCTGCACCCATCCTGCAACTCCCCATCCTCTCAGCCTGCATTGCTCTTATTTCTCCTCCTGGCTCTTCTAGTCCTCCTTTCCCTTCTAAGACCAGAAGTCCATCGGACTCCCTCTGCCCTTTCCCCTTCTCCTGATTGCAGCAGTTCAAGGACCCGAGGCTCTCTCCCCACTCACTGGATCCAGGTGCTGAAAGTGAAGCAGTG